AGTTTGTAACAAAAATAAAATGATCAAATAATTTTAAGTACCTATATATATTGTTTGAAATATGTTGTTTACATATTGTAACAGGTAAAATTGGGACGCGACGTCCGTCACGTGACCAATTGTCGTGTTGGTACTCTGACGACTATAAAATATTAGTTAATAAAGAGAGAGTCAAGGAGGATTGTAGAAAGAATTATGTCATCCAGCTTAGTCATAACATTATTATTAGCACTTATTATTTCATAGCCAAGATGTCATAGCTAGAGGTAACAAAAGAGAAGTATAAAATAACATAGAAAATGTAAGAGATATGGGGAAGTTGTAGAACAAATAGTGATAGCGAGTAAAAGAAAGTTAATAAAGACTCGGTCAAATAATACGCCTCAAATCACCCTTTCATTTATTTACCCTTGTAACAGTTACGCGAATTTCTGCCAGAGTAAGTGACAGACTCGCCAATATACCGTTACAATATTTAAAATTTCATGTGAATTGCTTTTGTTTTGAAAAAGTTATATACGTTTATATTATATAAATAATATTCCAAAATTTTTTGCACCATACTGTATCACTTTTTATATATATTTTAATATTTCTTAAAAACATACCTATCCTGATTATACAATATCATTTCAAACTATATAACTTTTACTTCAAAATTCTCTTTAATACTCATTTCATAAAATCTTACCTATATATAATATCCCCAAATATATATAATAATAACATATGTCCATAATACAACACAAATCCAAAAAGAGTATATTACTTTTGAACTTGCAAAAAAAGTCTAACCACATTAAAAAAAATAACTAATAATATACAAATATTCTTAGAAAAGAAAAAATTCTTTTCTATTAATTACACTTTTGTTAAACAATTTTCTTAAAAAAAAGTTTTTTTTTCAAAAACAATATAAAGTGAAGTTTTTATTTTTAAAGTTTTAAATATGATGAATATTACTATAAAAATAAGTTTTTTCTATAGTTTAAATTCAAATACTTTGAATTAATTGAACAGTTGGATCAAATTAAAGAACTCTTCTTCAAGTAGATAGAAAGGACTTTTTCAGTCTATTTTAATAATTTTAATAACAAGTTTTCACTTTCCAGTTATATTTAGACTTTTCAAAAAAAAAAACTTTGCAAAAGGAAGTTTTAAAAAAAAAAGAAACTAGATATAGAAGTAGATAAACAACCTTTATTTAAATAATCTTTGCCTCCTAAGGCATGTCAATATATAGAATGTGGAGTTAACTTTATCAGCCATATCACAAGGATAAAACATTACAATACTGTTTATAAAATAAAATGTATAAAGATTAAAAAGATTATAATATTAAAGAATTCAATACAAGAGACTATTATTATTGACGAAGTGACAACTACTATTATTAATAGTAATAACAATAATAATAGCAATATGGGATTTAAATATGTACTTTATAGGAATAAAAATGAAATGTCAACAATTACTATCAATAGCAATAACAATAACAATAACAATAAAAGATTTATATATATATTTCATAAAAATAAGAATGATCTCAATGACTAATATATTAAGAATCTGATTAGATTTGTAAGAAATAAATTGAAAAGCTATCAGATTTTATTCAATAGAGAAAGATCAATTGAAATTTATAATTATATGTCTAAAAATAGTTCTTATGGTTTAACTATATGAGAATTTAGAACTAATTGCAATTCCAAAGTAAAAATGATTGATAAACTACTTAGAGATAACATAAATTTGGAACTTAATAATTATTTATTTAAAATAATCAACTATAGATATTTTGATTAAAGAGAAAGAAAAATTTATATAACAAATGAAAGATATAAAAAAAACAGTAACAGATTTAATTCAGATAGTCAAAGTTATCTGTAGATAGTTTCTAGTTTATATAAGAAATATATTGTATAGTTTAACTTTTATATATATTATGTATATAAAAAACCTACTATATTAATAAAACTAGAGAAAGTCTCATTTTAGTTGCAAAAAAAAAAATAATAATAAATATTCTTGGAAAAAAAATTCAAAAACAACAAAAAATTTTAACAAAAAACAAATGCAAAAAATTTTTGACACTAATATTCATATTATCAACTTTGCAATAGATATTATGGAACCAAAAACTCTCTTCAAAAATCTCAATTCAATAATATTTGATTTTAAAAATATTATTAAAATCCAAAATGAAATACTTGAGCTAATATATATATAAATATGTATTTTCAGAAATTAGGAAATAATTATTGGAAAAAAGTTTTTTGACATTTCATAAAATATTAAATATAAAAAAAATACTAACAAAATAAAATTCACAATATACAAAAAACATATAATAACAATAACAAATATCAAAAAATCTGATAACTAATAATAATATATCTTAAACTAATAACCTAATTGATATAATTCTTCAACTATATTTTCAAAATTTATTTATATCACCTCAGAATAGAATAAATTATTAGGAAGGCATTAGTTTTTCAAACTAAATAATTACTTTCTTTTTCCTTGTCTCAAAATTTTTTTTCAAAAATATACTTAATAAAGTAGTAGGCTAACATATAGTATATAGCAATGTATTTCAGTATCTTAATATTAATTATATAATATTAAATATTTATTCTATTAATAAAGATTATGAGAAATGCCTCACTTAACATTAAAAAAAATAATAAAATTTTTCTTTAATAATGATATTTTTTTTAAATTATTACAAAAAATGTTTTTTTTTTAAAAAAAAGTCTTTAGATTATTATTTAATTTCTTTTTTAAAATCTATTTTTTATTGAAACATTTAACAATATAAAATTATATATAAATGGTTTACTTTATACTGTATATTAAAATAAATATTAAATTACATATAATATGAAATTTACATTGAATATTTTAATATTATCAAATTAAATTTAATTATTAAAAAATTTTGTATTCTATCATTAATAATTTTAAAATATTATTAAAAATATATATACTGTAGTATTTGCAATTATTTTGAATTAAAAAAAACAATAAAAAAAATAAATCTTAATAAATATTTCATAAATTTTAAGAATTTCCAAGTAACAAGATTTTTTAAAATTTTAAAACAATATTAAGATTTGATGTTATTAACACCAGTATCAACAATTTTATATCAATATCATTATATTTAAACATTAAAAAAAAAAAAAAAATTTCGATAAAAATAAATTTTATTAGTATAACTCAGAACTCGCAATATTTACACTACAAATGTTGCCTGATTATTCATATCTTAATTTTGTTCTCGTGAGAGAATGTTCGTCAAACCCACAAAAACCACCGATTTATAAAACGTATGATAGAGATAATTTTAAACCGATGCAAAATAGGGTAAGTTGTTTCTCAGTAGCTCCATTTTACGCGTCCATATGACTTTTCATAATAAGCGATCTTTGGATAATTTCCGATGGAGATAAATGATTGCCATCCGTGTAGCCCGAAATTGAATGCATGTCCCTAGGACTGGGGCATTTGTAGATCGTAAAAAAAGAATTCCCCAATTTCACAGATCATCAAAAAGGAATTTGCTGGCGTACCGTAGAATGAATTGACGCATACTATACTGCAATAAATTGCTGTTTTAGTGCTAGCATTAATGTATTGATTTTGAACTTTGCCACAATAATTCTGTAATTTCCCATGAAAGGATCTTCGGTCAGCAATATTAACATTTAGTATTTATCCGTAACTTTTAAGCTAAGTAGAAATTAAATAGAATTATTATATCGCCTCAATTAATTGTCGTTAAATTTATTTATAATTTACCGTATAAGGTCCCATTGTCTAAAATGTCATTCGAAGGGTAGATTTTTTATACACTCGTTTTTTCAGAGAAAATAATTTTTTTGCCGCTATACTGTATATGATCTCCATAAAAACATCGAAAGAACACGGCACAAGAAAAATCGGATGCCCGTAAATCGTGATACTATATATCAGTCATGTCAATTACTAGATTGTTTCTATCCCATAAGCAATAAGTTTTCAAGAGAAAGACTTTGACAAGTTTTTCCGTTGTTGTACGGATTTTACAAGTTAGTCGGATGCCTTTATGTTTCA